GCTTCGCAAATTTATTAGCGACACCTTTTTTAAACCACACTGCACAACGGCCACCTGCAAAAATTTTTTACTTCCGTTTGCAACATCGCATATTTCGAAAAACTTATTTCTTGAAATATTTTTGACAACATTTTTTCAGCAAGATTTTCATAAGTAATCCTTATTTAATAGAAAAATGTCTAATAAAAATAAAGATTACTCAGCAACATAACTAATGCTCCAGTATCGACAACAGGCAACCCTCTTTTGTTACTATAGCCCAGTCCGGTTAGTTCTCGTTCTTTTTTATTTTTTATGAATATCATCTGTTTTCTAGTGTTTAAGGAATCAGGCCCTTGCACAAATTTATATACCTTAATTTTACACTGCCTCTTATATATGTTAACGCCGCAACCGTCATCCCACTGACTGAAGAGGTCCAGTTGTAGTGCTGAATAGAAAAGCACACGAGTTAGTGGGCCGGAATATTCCTGTTCATCTGATTATTTCTTAATTTATATATCAATCTTTCTTAATATATAATTAAAATCTTTATTTTTACACCGCTTGTTTTAATCTATCTCAACCGCTTGTTATGGCAGCCGCAGTATTGTTGATTATGAAAATATAAACAGTAGTGCGTCTTAACAATGCATTAGGTTATGCGTGAGACCCGCATGCACTTGCTATTTTTTAATGAAGTGGCCCTCTGGTACCGAAATCAAATACATAGCACCACGAAATCTCTCACCTTCCACGATGTAACTTACTGAAAAATATAAGAGCCAATCGGCTGAGATAGATTAAAACTGTTCTAGATAAATCTACTCGACATCTCAGGAAAAGCTACAACATCAGAGTTCAGTAAATTGACTTATAGTAACAGAGGAAAGTTTTATAACAGGCTGACTGTTTGATATCGATTATGAAATAAAAATTAGACTCAAAGTAAATTTCTGTCGATATGCATGGCATCCCATCTATGCATATATTAAGGGGATGAATCCAGAACTTCCTTCTTATAAGTTTCACATGGTTATTTATACGAGCAAAAAGTCTTTGACAGAAAATCTTGGATCTTCATATTAATACAGTTCCATGTGGGAGAACGAAACATAACCAGTTATCATAGTCAAGACCTCTTCTTTGTTTTGCTCTTAATGAGAAGCAAAAGTACTCAGGAAGTAGCCCGAGCGGTAGCAAACGCTAACAGCAGCCTCTTTAGAGATTTCCTTACAAGAAAGTTTGACTCCATGACATACGCCAATATCAATTTGACATCGAAACGAATCGTAAATGGATTGGTTGCCCCACCCGAGGATTGGACTTTCAACCTCGTGAAAGACAACAGTACTGCTCATCGTACCATGTCTGCCGGCACAAGCAGCTGTAAAATTTATATAAATATAAATAAATAAAAGCAAGAATCAAAAATGGATAAGGAGTCAAAGCGCTGCCGCTGTTGTACTCACTTTCTGTAAGAGACGGAGTTACTCGGGATTACCCAGTAGTGATATTTGCTAACAGCAGCCATCCACTGGTAAGGCTCTTGTTCTCTCCTGAGTGTTACTTGGGAACAAATTTACGGCGCTACGAATCCAATTATTTCACAAAAAACAGATGTGTATTGTCTTTTTCTCGTTTAGGAAAAAAAAATGATTATATGGACATAATCACCAACATCTGCATTCGCATCTGCGAGGATTGGTTGCTCTTTCAACAGTGTTACCAAAGAACAGGCAGAAACAGCTAATACACCGGACACCGTCGCCCAGCGCACCAATTCAACCTTCAAAAATTATTCTCTTCAAAGTGTGACTGAAAAAAGAAGCAATTATGAGAGTGACGAACTTTTGAACCGATACTGATAGCTTCCTGTAGGTTCCATTGCTCGGAAAGCGTCTCGTCGGTGGCGCGGCGGCGTTTCCAGTTTGCTACTTTGCCTTCGGATGTTCCACCTGACAAACAGCCTGCAAGCTCACCTCCTGGCATTACTTCTTTCAAACGTGCAACCGCTTCTAACAGGCTTCGGTAACATCCGTAAAGCGTTGAATGAGTTACTGAGCCACACATTTCTGCGATTACGTGCAAAAGATGTGGAGAATAACGCTCGTATGAAGTGAACTAATCCAAGAAATTCAAAGTTTTTCTTACTGGCTTAATTATGGGGTTTTCAAAAAGAGCTAGAAAACTGAGAATTCTTCATTGGTGAGAATAAAATTTGAAGGATAATTTTAAATATATGGTCTTACGTACGGTTAGGAAAACAGGTATCAAATTGTAGATTTTAGCCTCCGAAATCCTGAGAAACACCCTTTCATATACTAGCATATACATATAAATACACATACATGCGTACATTCATACATATATATATATATATATATATATGTATACATATATATATGCACTTACATATAATTTTAACGGAATGTGTTTTTAAATCG